ATTTTTGCTATTCCTGAAGCGATCCTATTCCTCTACAACCACAACTGAAGCTTGAATGATGATATAGAGCTTGGTTCGGCTCCAAAGCTCCCTGAAGCATTGCGTCGCGTCCGAATCACTGCGTCTTGGGTCCTAATCAAGCCGTGTCTTCTTTGAGTCCAAGTTCTTAAGTACGTGTTGTGCAGGGGCTTCACTTCGTATCTTACGGGAAACCCAAGCCCCCTCCCCCAACGCTGATTTGAGGTACCTCGATGCTAAGTTGAGCCCCCTCCCTGTCTTCCACAGTGCAAAAAAGGAAATGCTGGACATAGGAAATGCACAAATTTTCATAGTATTCTGGCATACCGAGTGTCTGAAGGCAGCACCATTAGATGTATGCTACTTGTGTATCACACGCTATCCTGCATGGCCTTACATGCTTTTGCATACCAAGTCCTAAATATTGTACGCCAGTCTGCGAAGATTGGCACGTTTTTCGCTAGTAAACACCTGGCTCGGGACAAAAGAGTGCAATTTGCGGCAGGTTTCAAGCATAGGTGACTGCTTTCAACTTATACAGGTTTTATAAAGTCGGGCAGTTGCTTACCATGAACGCCACATTTCAGGAGCATTGCACGAATATCACGAGCAATCTACTTACTCAGACTCGCACCTCCTGACGCGACACGAGGTTCTGTGCTAAGAGCCGCTTGAAACACGGACAGCTAAAAAAAAGGTTTCGATGCCGCGTACCGAGAAAACACATGGAGAGAAACTTGCCGGCGGGTGTCAGTGTTTACCACGACTAGAGGACTCTTTCTAAATATATCTAACAAGACGAAGTCGCTCAAAAGCAGTATAAGATACGCGGAAGCCAAACCTAAGAGGGCAAAAGACCCAACACGCCGTCCGTGTGTTCAGCTTTAGGGAAAGATTACGGCTGTGCAGCATTTTTCATCCTGAGATCCGCCAGTTCTTCTGCGGCTGCAAAACTTTCACGTGATATTTCAGGATGGTATTTGTTTTATCGTATTCAACTGCCGCGTATTAGGCTGCTTTGTGCTCACTAAGTGGAGTGTGCGCTCTCTGAAAGCGTGCGTTTCCAAGGAGCGAAAAGTCCTTGGAAAGCCGGTCTTCCCAGTGCATTATCGGCAGCTCAGTTGCATTGTGTATGAAGTGTGTCTTACTTCATTGGCCCAAGTTTTGACGCTATCTTAATGATGCAATACACGAGTGATCTCTCTCTCAGTATGTCTTATTTCATTGCCCTAAGTTTTGACGTTATCTAAATGACAATAATACGCGAGTAATCTCTCTCACGTCACCCAGTGACCCCGCCACCGTTTAGTGTACACGGCTCAAGCACCCCACTTTCGGTGTTCATCGAAGCCTCAGCGCCACCTTTAGCACAGCTAGCCAGGTCTACCGTGCTGTCATCTACCCGACATCGCCTTGGGATCTGGGTTTTGTTACATCGACCCTTACCCAATCATGTTGTTCAATACAACATGCCGTTGAATACAAGGCGAGGGTTGTACATGATTAAAGTTGTTTGTTTATAGTTGTATGGTTTATTCTGGTATATAGCGTCTCTTATAATGCAAGCCGGCGCTGGGGATTATAGGAAGTTGTCGCCATGCCATTACGGCTCATATTATGCAGCGTACAACCTGCGTCTGGGCTTTGGGGTTGGCAGATCAGCACCCCGCCTAAGACGCCACTTTTAACACCGTTGAGAGGTTACCGATGTAAAGTTTAGAATTAATGTGATTAGTTGTCAAGGCGCTTTGGTCTCCCAACAAAATGCTGGCGGTGTTCCTTTTCATATATATATATATATATATATATATATATATATATATATATATATATATGCACCACTTACAGAGCTTTCTCACCTTGACATAGCCGGCGCTGAATGTTCTCTCAAAACGATTAATATTCCTCAAACCGAGCTTTGCCCACGCAACAACGATAAAAGCAATAACGCCGCAAAAAATCATTCAACGTGCTCGACCGATCAGCACCGCTGCCATGCCGGACATGCTATAAAGTGGCTTAATTAAAACCGTAAACAGATCCTGCCAAGAATGTTTAGTATATACTTAAATATTTTGAAATATTTTAAAATGTACTAAAGGTTTCCAACGCATCTATCCTTCGTAAAACGGCTATTGGTATGCTTTAGCTGCTTGTCATTATTTTGACTATTTTACGAGTACTTCGGAGACTTTTTTGTCCTTGCAGTACCTAGCCAGTTCAATGTGATCGGCGTCGTTGATGCTAATGATGCTGGTTTTCATGACCTCGTGAAAAAACCGTCCATCAACGTGATATGCAGTTTATATTTGGCTTTTGTAGATGGCGTTGTTGGCGTTTGTTTCGCTCTGTAGTGAGCTAGTTCAACCAAGTTGCACAGGATGTCAAGGGTCTCACTCTCCACATCTCGGTTGGTGTACCCGTTACTCAACAGAAGCTGTCGTGAACGCTCCAGTTCGAAGTGCAGGGCCTCTTGTCTTGACCAGTTGCGGGCTGCACGTCTGGTGCATGCCTCGATTACGGCGCGCGTAGGCGATCTTGGACATAGACTCCGTGTATTCATACATTTACCGAGGTCTGTTGATTTTCTGTCCACGGGGATCACGAACGGCCAGGTTAAGTGTTGATTTCGGCTCAAAAATGCTATCTGACGATTGTTGCAAATCTCATGGGTGAATCTCACAACTGAGTTAGCTGGCAAGGTATCCTGTCATTGTTAAAAGTGCTGCCTGTTTTTTGGTGTCGACACAAATGTCGTCATTGTAGCGGCAGTAGATCTTTGGTTGCGGTTTATCGTCGTGAAGTACTTTGTTGTCTACTTCATGCATGTGAAAGTTCGCACATAAGGGACCTTATGGTGATCCCTTTGTCACGCTCTCTGTCTGTCGATAAAGCTAACCATCCGGTAGCCGAAAAGGTAACTCAATTGTGCATGCCAGAGCAGGCCTTCTACAATTGATGCGACAGTTTCAAACACTTCAGTGCTTCGCGGTTACAGACGTGTTTGGAACTATATCAACTGTTTGCCTGCCATATACATTTGTGAAGGGACTTCTCACATCCCAAAAGCTAAAGATCCTTTTTGTTGTGTTTTTAGTGACATCTGTGAACTCATCTCTTAACTTGATGCTATGCCTTGCCGGCATCTTAGGAGTCAATAAATGATTCAGGCACTTAGCAAATTGTCAAGTTTGGGCGCAAAATGACCACAGTAGCTAGAACCAGCGCATAGCGTATCCCTCATTCAAACCACCTCATTTTTTGTTGTGGTGCGTAATACCACTCTTAGCATCGGCAGCATGAAGGCTTTTATTCACCTCAATTCTGAGTTTGTTAGTGGGGCCCTTGTTAAGTTTTTCAAAGTTTGTTTCCTCAGCTAGATGTTGCCACGTTCTAGTAAGCACTCGCATCTATTGACAACGAACATAGGCGATTTATCTGCTCGCCGTGCAATAATGTTGGCAGTCCTTGACTTGCCGGGCACTTCCTTTCAACAGCCTGCGGCGGCCTTGGAAAATGATTTCAGTTATGTGCGAAGAGGATATCCATTCCACAGCGCTGCTGTAGTGATGTAGGGCTATCAGCTGGCAGTGGAGCACATTTCTCCAGTGAAGACGCCATTTTATTCAGCTGTCCACCTGAGAGTCCATCACTCAATGCCGAGGGTTCGGCCGCAGCCGCGATTTGTGAAGCGCGGTGGCCAACTATGATGCGACATCATCATTGTTGAAGCACCGTCGACCGGCAGTGTGACTCGGCAGCCGGCTGGCATGGCCGTCTTTGCTCATATGACCCCCTGATGGTCCATCACCAAGTGCAATTTGCCCTGCCCACCCACCAATTCACGCCAAGGTCAACTCCTGACCGCGCGGACACGCGGACAGCGCTGATGCCGGAAGAGGAGACGCTAGGACCGAGTCACAAACGCCTGCCAGCCATCGAGTCACGATGATGCCACAGGAATCTCGGCCGCGACCCCGGTCGGACGTCGGCAGTCGAGGTCAAATCAATACACGTGATGTCACTCCACGGCGTCGCGGACCCTCCATACGCTGTGCCAGTTGGCCTATGCTGCCTCACACAGTACTTTTCTGGGAACGGTCAAACTTCGCCGTCTGACTCTCTGGACAGCTGATACTACTTATGTTTAGCAGGATTTGTAGGCATGGGCCACTTCCGAGAGCGTCTTATTTTCTACGCAAATATACTTAAATCCTATCCAGATGAAACTGTTGACATCTTGGTCGGGGCTTGCCGTGGCTGTTTTTCGGTAGACTGTAATTTAACTCATTCCATGGCTCATCTAATATGAACTTCGCGCGTTACAACGAATTGTGGAAAACGTTCTCGCTTTCAAAGGATGCGATGGCCACACCGACGCTTACAGCTTATTCTCCTTAAAACCTCCCTGAGTGTACCGAGAGTACAACTGAATGATATATATATATATATATATATATATATATATATATATATATTGTATCCTTAAGGAAGCGCACCTTAAACGAATAGGACAGCCCTATGCTTTCTCTGTTGAAACCATCTCGGAGAAACCAGCGAAAAAAAGCGAAGGGCTGGGATGGGATTCGCCCATTACCCTTCCCCAAATTAGGGTTTGCATAATGCATTCACGTTCATTTCCTGGTGGACGTACAGCTTTGGCAATGTGGGATAGGGCAAACGTGATTCTTACCTCGTTTCTTTTTTCCTTTTCCAGGCACCGCCGTAGGGTCAATTTCGAATGTTGCCCCGAGGTGGAGGGAGGGGGGGGGGGAGGCAGCCGCCCCCACCCCCGCCACCTGATCCATCGCCCCTGTCTTCAGTTCAATGCTCAGCGCGCCGTGGCAGATGCTGGCGTAGCGTAACTGCAAGTCACCCTCTCCATTGGGCGACGGCCTTGAGTGCGTTTCGCCGCCTCTGTGCAGCGCCGTCGCCGCTCAGTCGACTGACATGTGGCCTTCATTTAGTCGTGGGATGAACTCTGCCCGGGCGATGCGTGCGCTGCTCGTGCTCACGTGGCTGGTGGTGGCGCTGGCCGAGCGGCCGCTGGTGCGGCTCGGGGACGGGGCGCTGCGTGGAGTCACCCTGAGCTCGTTCGAGGGACGCCAGTACGCCGCCTTCAAGGGCATCCCGTATGCCCGGCCGCCGGTGGGCGACCTGCGCCTCCGGCCGCCGCGCGCTCACCCCGGCTGGTCGGGGGTGCGCGACGCCGCCAGGCACGGCTCCACCTGCCTGCAGTACAACATGCTGAATAACAACATCATGGAGGGCCAGGAGGACTGCCTGTTCGTCAACGTGTACTCGCCCCGGCTGCCAGTCAGTGACGGCGAGCCCGGTCTGCCCGTCATGGTGTGGATCCATGAAGGAGCCTTTATCAGCGGCTCTGGCGACGCCGATCTCCACGGCGTCGACTTCCTGATGGACGAGGACGTCGTGGTCGTCACCTTGAACTACCGACTCGGTGTGTTCGGCTTCTTCACCACGGACGACGCGGCGGCGCCGGGCAACATCGGCCTGCTGGACCAGGTGCTGGCGCTGCAGTGGGTGCGCAACAACGTCGCCCGCTTCGGCGGCGACCCGCAGCTGGTGACGGTGTTCGGCGAGTCGGCCGGCGGCGCCAGCGTCTCGCTGCAGGTCATCAGCCCGCTGTCGGCCGGCCTCTTCAACCGGGCCATCAGCCAGTCGGGCAGCGCCTCGGCCTTCTGGGCGCTGGGCGACCGTCAGCGGCCCCTGGCGCTTCACTTCGCTGCTGAGCTCGGCTGTCCGTCCGAAGACAGCTGGGCCGTGGTGGAGTGCGTGCGTCACGCACCGGCGGCCGACATCATGCGAGTGCTGGAGTCTCTGGGTCCCTACGGCGCACTGGTGGAGGGTGGGTGGAACCTGTTCCGCCCCCGCGTCGACCGTGAGTCGACGTCACCGTTCCTGCCAGACCAGCCGAACGTGCTGCTGCAGCGTGGCCAGTTCAGCCGCGTGCCCTGGATGATAGGCTGCAACCAGGACGAAGGCGTGGGGATTGTCGGCATCATTTTCTCCGACCCAGACGTGCTGAAGCGAGCTCAGGCGGGAGACGCTGAGGCCTGGACGTCGGCGGTTCTCCCCCGCGGTGGTGTCAGATCAGACAAGACTGACAAGCCGCGTGATGTCGCCGATAAGATCCGGGAGTACTTCCACGGCCGCGGCGACACCGGGCTCATGGATTACTTCAGCGACCGCTTCTTCACCCTGGGCCTGTCGGCCGAGACCGTCCTGGCCTCGCAGTACGTGCCCGTCTACAAGTATGTTCTCGATCACGTGGGAGCCGGCCAGCTGCGGTTCGTTGACCTGCTCGGCATCCCGCTACCGCCAACGCCTCTCGTGTCGCACGCTGACGAGCTGGCCTACCTGTTCCACGGCAAGCGGCAGCCGCTGCCGGAGCGTGGCTCGCCAGAGTACGCCATGATCCGGCTGCTGGTCAGCCTGTGGACGAGCTTCGCCCGGCGCGGCTACCCCGCCACGGACGTGCTGGACGCGCCCGCCTGGCCCATCTTCACGGCGCAGACTCAGCGCCACCTGCGTCTGAACGCGGCGCCGTCGCTCGGGACCCGCGCCTTCGAGGAGCGCGTCCGTTTCTGGGGGAGCCTGCCGCTGGCCGAGTCCTGGAACGCGCACGAGCGATCGTCCAGTCGGTCCCGTGACGAGCTCTGACCGCTACCGGGGTTTGGTTTTGATTAATTTGTGAGCGTGCGGCTACATTTGGAGCTTCCCAACTACGTGGTCAACCGGACATTAACGACCACCCGCCAAGAACAACAACAGCAACGATGACGATGACAACAGCAGTAACATCAACAGCCACAACAGCAACGAGCTCAAGCCGTCAACTGGTGGTGTCTGACAGGTCAATTCCGCCGAGTTCTTGGTTCAAGGTGGTGTTCCGTCGCGCATCAGGTCATAAAACGCTCATCGTGATCCCTCAGCCAAGATTTACGTAATGTACACGAAATGCGCGAAAGACCATTCTTAAGCTGTAGCCCTTGACTTTCATCAATTCTTGTTTTGTCTCAAAACTGCGAGATGTCCTGATAACCCGGTTTGTTAACATCAGCGATGCGTCAATGTCAAAAAGTATAACCGAACAACCTGCTTCAGGAGCATCTCGACAACAGTACAGACAGTGACGACGCACGTGCGTGAGTGCGTGGGTGAGCGCGTGCATGTGCGATTGTGGATGTGTCTGTGAATGGATCTGTCGATTGTTCCGTTGGTAGATCAGTGGGATGTGCTTGCGTGACTGAAGACCGTGTGCCGCATGCTCAGTCTGGCCGGACTGGGGTGACACCCCTCTTCCAGCAACGATGCGAAGGGCGCGATCTGCTCCGGCCCCGGTCCGCCGCGGCGCTAGCCCCTCCTCTCTGTGGGTGCCAGTCCCAATGTGAGACATATATGTGTGTATGTGTGAGCTTGCCTGCTGGTGTGATCACAGCCTGATAGCGACGACGCCCAGATGTACTGCGCTGACGCCTCCGCCACCAATCCTGACAAGAAGCTTGCTTGGCCAATGGGTGGTGAGGGTGGAGGCATGCAAGTAACATGACACCAGGGTATGGCAGGGCTGTACTATCGGCGCTGTATAATATTACAGCCGACGCCATTTTGTTGCGCTTGAATACCTTGGGTAATGGTGTCCGGACCACAGAAATGCATAGTGTAACGAAAATTTACATATCCTGGGAGCTATTTCCTTTCCAATGGTCCACAAGTTAACGTCGCTAAATTAGAACCACGACTTCTCGTTCCCAGATAAACCTGCGCACTTTTCCACCGACCAAATTGTTTTACCCAGGACCATGTCTGGCTGCTAGGAGTGAACTCAAACCATATAGGTTTCGTGTTCCACCAATATCTGTCCAAGAATGCGCATTGAGCGTTGGGTCCGTATGGTAAAATGTTGCTGCTTCCTCACTGCTCTGCCCAGCCTACGTCATTAGCGTCCGTCCGGCTATCTAGCGGGAATGGTCACCGCCCTGGTGGTTTCGCAAATTTGCTACAATTTGCTAGTGCACGGTGACAGTACCGCCCAAAATCCAGACGATTTCCCTAATTGTCTTATTTTGCGCTCCATGAGTCCCAGCAGGGAGGATTATTTCATCATATATTTGATTTGTGAGAAGCTGTGGGGTGGCGCAACTTCAGTGCCAATTAATTTCCTATGGAGAAAAAACTCGTGTTTTTTGGTCAACTGGAGTACATCACCGGACAGATGTGAACTAATAAAAAAAACCGCTGAGTATGCTCGACCCTTGAGACAGGTTGGGCTGTTGCTGTGTGTGCCCAGTATCCGCTTCAAACAGGGTAAACGCTGACTTGTACAGGGTTCCACGCCAAATTAATGCGCTACCAAACATCAGTGAAAAGGGCAATGTACTGCTTAGGTGCGAACTTAAACATCATCTGCACGCTGTACCTCTAACCCGTTGTACGCGTAGGTGAAGAGGGTGTGCGAGTTGCCGCGCATGTTTTAGGCTCTGTCTTTTTATTGCGGCACTGTAACTATTTTGAACGCCTATTTTGTGTATCTTATCATGTGTGAGGCCGTATTCCTTCCGCGTGCTCATGTAATATGCCTTGGTGATGGATAGCTGGGCTATAAATGACAAAGACGCTAATTTGTGTTTTGAATGAGTGAGCTGACTTATCTGAGTGTGCTGGTATTGTCTGACGGGCAAAGACAATTTAATTTCACCCTCGTGCCGATATCTTTTCAACAGAAATTGCTACTGCTCACAGACGCTAGCAAATATGGATACACGTAAGTTGTTGACAATCGAGGCATGTCCAACGAAACGTTGAAAAGTGACAACGTTTTAAGTTGGGCAGCCAAACTAACCCGATGTGGCTCTCCCACTGAATGACAATTATACCTCTGCAACCGCTGATGGCGGTTTCATGCAATTTTGGGGCAAAATAGGCGTAGTTAGTTAAAAACTAGGAGGTGTGTAGTGAACTCCTGTACGTGCAAGCTCTTTTATCAAATGTGAGCATCATGTAATATTTCACAATATGGCGAAATTATCTCACTCCTCGGGTCGAGATGCGGAACAAAAATCCCTGCCTTCTAAATATTTTTGCGGCGCGAAAACAGGCACAGATGTCGACAAACTGGCGCGAAAGAAACAGGAGGCGAACACCATTCGACGGAGAGACCAGACAAGGATATTGGTGAAAGTGTGACGATGCATGAAGTCACTCATGTGCGCTGGAGTGCATCCCATAGAACCGTCCATGCTGGTTTTCAGTGAGGATAATGGTTGATGTCAGGTCGCTGCAAGGAGAGCAGATGAAGGGTAGAACAAATAGCACGGCGCAGCCAACTGTGGGAGGAGGAGAGAGAGGGGAAAAAAGAGAGCGACAGGGAGAGAGAAGAGAGAGAAGGGAGAGAGGGAGAGAGGAGAGCGAGAGGAGGAGGGAGAGAGAAAGAGAGAAAGAGAGAAAGGAGGGAGAATAAAAGAGAGCGAGAGCAAGAGCGAGAGAGAGAGAGGGAGAGAGAAAAAAAGGGAGAGAGAGAATGAGAGAGAGAGAGAGAGAGAGAGAGAGAGAGAGAGAGAGAGAGAGAGAGAGAGAGAGGGAGAGAGAGAGAGAGAGAGAGAGAGAGAGAGAGAGAGAGAGAGAGAGAGAGAGAGAGAGAGAGAGAGAGAGAGAGAGAGAGAGAGACATAGAGAAATTGCATGTAAGCGCAAGCTATCACTTTTACACACACTAAGCGTCTTCACGGGTGCAGTAGTGTATATGAATCACTCAGACTCCGTTGATGATTTATGGCAACCCCAGTCATGGTGTAAGGGCCCGCGTCTACATTCAGCCTATTTGTCGGGCCTGATGGGCGGTGAGATCAGCATAGACAGCAGCCGCAGAGTATCCAGGTAGGGGCAAAACGTATATCTTGTAAACTCTAGACATACGAAAAAGAGATGGACAGAAATGCTTGATTGTGTGACGCATATTTAATGCCTTGGAACAATATTGCAGCATATCATCAGCTTGCGCCTGTGAAAACACATCACTTCATCAACCTTGAAAGTTAAGTAGTATTAACAGCTGGTAACCTGTTCACATTTATCACATCAGGTATAACCAGCGGTTTCTTGCCAGCAAACAACAATATAGTATGACGCTTTTTGTACTAAGCACCACCTTAGGTGTGTCACCAGTTGACCGCCCGCCTTTAAACTTCAGTTATCACCATCAGATGGCGCCATTTAGTGTTTTTCCAGTTCTGCGTCAGCAGTGCGCCGAGAACTGGCCAGTGTTGCCTTCTTCAAAGCTGATCTGAAGAAGACCACGCTGTTGACTAAATCGACTAGGTCACGAAAACTACATGAATGCGGAGCTCAGCACGTGGCGACCAATATCCTTTCGAAATGTTCGCACTTTTCGCAATGTTTTTGCCACAGACACCAAGCATGTGAGGTCTTGCACATATACTAACTTGGTCAGCTGGAATTGTCTGGCCTATTCCGAGTCTTGCCAGCCAGCCTACACGTAGAATGATTTGCGACTTGAGTGACACCATGCGAGCGACTTCACCTTTCCCAGCCGAATTCTTGTGAAACCCTGACATTCGAATGCATAACATCAATTTCACGGGCACCAAACGTGTCTGCCTCCATAGCCTTTTTTGAAATCATCAAACTGATTTTGACTGATAGGTGAGGACTCAGGCGTCGACCGTCCGCTAACTCACACGTCGACCGTCCGCTAACTCACACGTCGATCGTCAGCTAACTCACACGTCGACCGTCCGCTAACTCACACGTCGATCGTCAGCTAACTCACACGTCGACCGTCCGCTAACTCACACGTCGATCGTCAGCTAACTCACACGTCGACCGTCCGCTAACTCACACGTCGATCGTCAGCTAACTCACACGTCGACCGTCCGCTAACTCACACGTCGACCGTCCGCTAACTCACACGTCGATCGTCCGCTAACTCACACGTCGACCGTCCGCTAACTCACACGTCGACCGTCCGCTAACTCACACGTCGACCGTCCGCTAACTCACACGCCGATCGTCAGCTAACTCACACGTCGATCGTCAGCTAACTCACACGTCGATCGTCAGCTAACTCGTGTACATATTGCAGTTGACTTACGCACATCACTGGCAGTCTCCATTCGAGTTGCAGTGCCACCTCTACCACAGCCAGCCAGGTCGATCCGGCTTCTGTGCTGCCATCTGTTACCAATTTTGTGTTTGGTCCTGTGTTTTCTCCAGCGCCTCTTTCCGCGCCCTCGCCACATACGGCTTGGGGGCCGGCCATATGTTATGTTGCACGCGGAGGGGGGAGGTACTTTGGTGGAACATAACCAACGCGTTACAAGGGGGGGGGAGGAGGTTTGGACACCGTAGCTGTATGGCACTCATATTCGGTCGCGAATCATGTGATTTCTTAAAATGTTGTGAGGCATTATAGGCGGATAACGGTGGCTTCTTTCAATGAAAAGCAACACGACTAACCTCGCTGTTTCGCATCTCTTTCACAACAAGGAGCCAAAGGGATAGTTCCTTTTTGGAACGTTATACTTTACCCAGCATAACCAGGGGGTGGGAAGGTTTTTGACCCTTCGTAAATAATACCAGTAACCGGCAATCAGCGTTTAACTAGGGCAGGGGGTAGCTTGAAGAATGACCTGAATCGGGTCACGTTTTCTTTTGGCGGCTGCTTGTGCATCTAGCTGGCAGTATTTTAGTTATACAAACAGCAGCGTCGCCTTTCGCGCAGAAAGGACTACTGTGTTGACTACTATGACTACTGACTACTGTGTCTACTGACTAAAGGACCATTGCAACTACTGTGGAGCCGTCTAACCAACATCGCATTTGGCCCTGTGTTTTGCTTTATCGCTTTTTCACAAGTTAAAGGATCAGATGTTTGTTGCACGCAGGAACAGGAACAGCCATTAACCAACTGTTCTGTACATAACTCAGTACAATAATTATAGATGGGTTAATGTTGTTCAAAGGGTACCGCGAGATGCTTGACGGATTTGCGATGGCTGATTCGCAAGACAGTAAATTTTGATGTTGATGAGACATCAAAAATGGGTGTCCGTCTGCGTCACAGATCAGGAGCACAAGTTCGAGACCTTGCCCAGAAGGTCCCGCTGTTTTTACCTGGAGTCCGAGTCCGGCGATCACTCCTTTTACAATCCATCAGCCCATATCCTAGTCCAGCCCTTTTCACGATTCGGGTCCTGATCCGTGCACCTGGAGACTGTGCTCGGGTCCGTGCTTGAATTCGAGCTAGAGTTCACCATTCAATAATGAGATGACACGAGCAGAAATAGTTGATATGAAATTGACAGTGCCCCAGTTCGTTGCGGATACCAAGTGTGCCGGAGTACGAATGATAAACTCAAGCTTAACAGGCGGGATCCAACCTTACTCCGACTTGCACGACCTCTTGATACCAGGCGGGACCCGTATAGCTGTGGAATTGCGAGCTTGCGTTCGTGGCCTTGCTGTGACCAATGCCAAGCCTTAAGCAACCGAGCCTCATTACTTGTATCGAGCTAAACCCAACCAAACATGACCGAAACTACACGAAACGAGCCTGCCCCATTAAGCCCATTGCTGAACGTT